GTGAGTCAAATCCAATGTAAAATGGCCAGAAATGATAAGAACAGAAATGATAGAAACAAGCTGACCAATGCAAGAACAGAAGAACAACAATAATTGAACTAAAGAAGGACTGTACATTGCTATATATTTATATATATATAATCAAGGCAATTTGTTCCGCTTCAAGAAAGAGACATAGAGGGGGAAAGGTGAAACAGATAGTTAAGCACTGTTTTATCTTTGGTTGAAAATTACTTTTTTTATTTAATGAGTTGGTCGTTGCTAGGATTCCGCTTCACAATGGAGTATAATGAATGGATATGAATTGAGTCAAAATAAACATCGGTATGTAGGTGTGTGTATGTGTGTGTGTGATTGTGAAGTGTGCAGTAGGTAGTATGATTACTGTATGACAGTTTTGATGTGATTAGACCTGGACAAATTCTTTTGTGATAGAAGAGTATTAGTAGTACTAGTAACAGTGTATATACAATTCTTCGTTGTAATAAGATGATGCGTTGCCCAAATGACAAACATTTTCTTTGATTTATCATGCTACTAACTAATAAATTAAGTAACATGATTACATAACTTAAAAAAGTGTAAATTGAAGAAGGTAAATAAAATGAATCAACAAAACGAAATATATCTGCACCAATGAATGAATGAATTAGTTAATTAATTAATTGGTCAGGCAACAATTCGCTCGACTATTACTCTGACTGCTGTCGCTTGTTTTCCGATCCAGTTGAACTGTATCCTTGTGATGTGAAGAAGAATGCTGGATATGTTTGAGATAGAAAGAAAAACAGTATTTAGTAAATATTTGTTATTAGTGGGGGTGTTTGGGGTCGATAATTGCAGACGAAATGAAATTCTGAGTCACAACCTGGATTCAAACCAGCAGTCTCTTAATTACTAGTTTTTCTGCCCTGCCAGCTTATGAGATAAGAGACCCATCGGCTAACCAGGACTTCATTTCACTGCAATCACCATAAGTAATGCTCAGTTTCCATATCAAGTTAAAGGTACATTGGTGTCTGTTTGTCACTGAACTACCTATTTGGCTAAACCTTCTCCTAGCTCCTAGCGTAAGTGATCAAGCAAGTTCAAACAGACAATATCCTTCAGACGTTAATCATGTCCAACATTCTTTATTCTAATGGTTTATCAGTTAAGCTTGTTTTCCCCACTTGCGTAATTTCTTCAGCAGTCAGGGACTACAGTATGTTTTATATGAACTGCTCTCCCATTTACATTAATATGTCATTTTTATTATTCTACTCATACAGAGCTAAATTAGACGGAGTGAGTCACTGACGAAACCGGTTCCAGTGTTTAGGTCACCTCGACTTGGCAAGTAAACACCACTGATTCGTTGATGATAATGGTTCCCACCTATCTGCATCAGTCAGTCAGTACATCAAGGAAATGGATTGTGTGTTCATTTTCTAGACTTGACAGTGAATTTGCCTTCAGACTAATTATTCAGTCCTTGGGATTACCTGTTCTGTCAAACGAACTGGTTGGATTGCCTTATTAATGTTATCTGGATTCATGTTTCTAGACTAATTTTACACTCAGTGATAGCCACGCAAGTTAAGGCAGCAAAACAATGATATACCTGAGGTAATATGGTGGTTGGCGACTAGCAGTGTAATCCCAGGATGCGCATTTCGGGCTATTTGGAGCTCATCAGGTGTAGATGATAGTGAGTCATAGTATCATAGAGCAATGAGAGTCACCTTTTCTGCGATTACTGTCAGTTTATATTTGTTTTTCATCCAATTTTCATTTTCCTGCTGACTGACTGGACCGGAATGTTTGGCCTTTTTTGACATGTCTGAAAATAGTGGGGACGTCGTTGTGGCTCTTATTGCTCAAGTGATCTAGTAGATAACGCTTTGAGAGTTTGAAGTGATAGGTGCTTGATTTGAAACCCTATCATTTACCTCCACCTTTACATGAAGAGTCCCAAACAGGACAAAATGATCTGCTAGTCACCATTCACTAAATTACTTCAGACAGCGTCGAAGCGTCCGCATTAGATGGTGACAAACCAACAGAGGCAGGAGATTTTGGCCAAATCAATCAAAAGGGGAAATCAAAATTGAATTTAAAGCAATGGCCTGCTTATGTTATCATAAGTTTACATTATGACAAATAATTTTTGAAGAAGCATGCATGGAAGGGAATAGTTAGATAGTAAATAATTCCTGAATTCACCGATCTTGTCTTCAAATGGGAAAGGTTATTAAGAGTGCCTGAAGACGTCAAGTAAACGACCTTTAAGTAATGTTTTCAATGATGGTTTCACTACCAGCAGTCAGAGTGGATTCTTGCAAAATAGGCATCTAAATAGATTTCACATTAAGGCATTCATAACGCATTATTCTATAACAGTAATCAATTGGTGGATAATGACTAGAATTGTAATCCAGGATACGCATTTCGTCCTACTTGGGGCTCGTCAGCCAGTGGATGTGTCTGTATCTCCCATTGAGTTATGGTGTCCCCACCGAGGCTCAAACCCAGTGCCCATAGTTTCAAACGCCAAAGCGTTATCCACTAAATCACTTGGGCCACGACAGCCAACCACCTCTTGTGCAACGGGTTTGATCAATTGTTTAATTCAAATTCGATTTCCCATCGATTGATTGGACCGAATGCTCGGTCTCAGCTTGACATGTTGGCTCCTTGTGCAGATGATTCGATGATGTCTGGTCATGTAACCAGACAACAGTATTGCATTAAAGTTATACTGCGAATTGACTTCAGTTAGAGAAGAACTCTTGAAAACCGGTGAAAAGTGGACATCCAGACTCTTCACGGTTACACATCCAGCGGACTGAACTCTGGGCCATGTCAGTGAGCTCATCCTATAACCTGTAGATCTAGATTTATTCCCTAGTGAAGGAGGATATGCGTGTATACTGTTGAAGAGTCCGATACTAGGACAAGACCACTGTCCACTACTCACCGGTTTTCATTGGTTCTCTAAATGAACACTTGAGAAGTATCATATCAGTCGTCCCAGCCCAAGGTGGATTTCGACCAATACATCGGAAAAAAAGGGGGATAGTTACCCTTGTTATCCTCGATCTTGATCAAATTTAATTTGTAAAATTTGAAATCTTTTTATCATTTCCCTTAAGAATTTCAGACAAGTTCACCGGATAAATTATTGGGACTACGTTTCTCAATACTGCATGAGATTTACCCGTTAAATATATAAATTTGATGATAATATTACTGGAATAATTAATATAAACATATATATGTAAAACGTACAGGATTTGACCAAGAATCGGAATTATTATAACCATCTTGATTCATTTCGTACCAACGCTGAAATAAAAGGAGAAAACAATGATTCAATAAGCAAAGGCAGGAGAGCGCAATGTGGAATAAACATTAAAATCAAGCTTCAAGCTTCAGGTTTGAAGTTTCATCACCAGCATCGCTATTGGTTCTTTGTGGGGAGAGGTCTCTACCCTCAGGCTTAAACTTCCTTCACTTCCAGCCTTACCATCACACCTACTAAACCGGGTGAGGACATATGAGTGTATCGGCCAGATATTGAACCTGGATACCTTGCACGAATGGTAAGCATTCTACCATTGTACCGTCAACGCCCACTTGCTTATGTCGAGGAATATCTGTGAAATATTGACCGACTGAGTTGCAACATAAAACTTTACACAGAAGTGCAGCAATTTGATTCGCAAATCTCTGTGTACTACACAAAGCAAGAGAAGAGAGTAAGGGAGGTTCAACAGAGCGATAAAATGCAGAAATGTGAGGAAGAAAGCATGGCAGCATGGAGAAACAATAAGGCTTTAATAGGTATGTAAGATTACGAAGAGTGGATGCATCTGCGCCATCGTCAAGAACCATTTTGAGGCACATCACCGATTGTCTCTAGCCATCGTTTCTTATCATCCTGAGGACCTCAACCAGTCAGTCTACAACCCCTTACACAACTGGAGCTAACTGTCAAATATTTCATGGACTGATGCTAGTTTGAGCCCCACTAGCTCTTTTCCAATCTGATCCATTCCATTTCAACTAAAACCGCTTGTCGAGAAGGGCGTTGGCTAGTCATACGCAACACATGCTCTAGACAACACAATCAATGTGCTTTCAAGTATTGGTTTGTAGGGATTTGGTTGATCGGTTAGAGGATTTCATCATGAGCTGACATTGGTTAGAGAACCATTGGAAAACATGGGAGTACTGAACAGCTGTTTCATCCCACTTTGGGACTCTTCATGCGTACGCAACCACCAGGACTCAAACCCAGGACCTTCTAATTACAAGGCGAGCAACTTGGCTTAATGGGATAGGATGAAACAGCTTTCCAGTACTCCCAGGTTTTCCAGTGGCTTTTTAACCAATGTTAGCTCATGATGAAATCCTTTAAACAGTCAATGTGCCTTCACAACCTTATCGATAGATTTTCTCCTCTTACCTAACACCCGACGACTAACCACAATATTATGCACTCCATTATACCACCTAACATGCGCGAAACCGCGTAGACGTCCCATGATCAATGGCCGGATATCACGCCTACGCCACATTCAGCGTAGGTTGACAAACGCCAAACGAGCCTTTTGCATTCATGATGACATCTCATCAGCGTTCAGCCCCTTGGGGCTGGTGAAACTTCCCATAAAAGTGATGTGGTTGACACGTCCTCTCAATTATCTCTCTCTAACTTTAAGCTAAAAGTAAATGTAGTCCGTTTCTGTAGCATCACATTACATTTGAAACGAGGAAAATAACAGAAGTTGCAGCTGGCAGATCACTGAATTCCAAAACAATGACTGAATGTTGAGCATGCTCTCGCCTAATAACCTCAAGGTCATGGATGTGATATCTGTTAGTGAGTTAGTTATAACTGTACACTGGGCACAAACAAGGTCATGACGGTTATCCAATACTGCTTGGTATTTTTGATGACTTTTCAACTGATATCGCTTCACCATAAAAAATATGTACTTGACAAAAAGGTTTACCTAGCATAAACATTCTTAAAGATATTATTGATTTTGATGAAGTTCTAATCAGGAATCAATATCATTCTGAGTAATGCAAGTGAGAGAAAGTTACACTTAACAACTATTTCGACGTCGTTTCAAAGTGTTTGGCAGTGTTCGGAAACCACACGGGCTAGTTAGTAAGTTAGTTAGCACAGTGGCACAGTGGTTAGGACTCTCGCCAACCACGCACACGGTCTGGGGTTCGATTCCCTGCAGACGCACACCTGATATCAATGGTCATCCTGTAAAATTTGGGCTACCGGTATCACAGGCTGGAAATTCCATACATGAACCAAAAGTACTGTGTGGTTTCAAGCTATAATCAAAAAATAAAAAAATTAGTTATTTAGTTAGTTAGTCAGCGACAAACTGAAACTAGATTTCTGAAAATTCAATTGAATATGCCTCATTATGAAGAGTGATCGAATTGACAGTGAGAAAGAATTATAAACCACGCTGACAGTGAATGATAACAACGTACAAGACCTGATGTATAGTAACTTGATTCCTTATGAAATATAATTAGTGGACGCCGTGAAGAGGTGAAAAATAAGGGGAGTTAGTTATTACATTATTATTATTATTATTATTGTTCCCTTGGGTTCCTAGTGGAACATAGGCCTTCAACTACACGTCTCCACTTGCTTCTGTCTTCTGCTGTACTTTTCACCTGCACCCATGTTAGTCCATACTGTTTCAACTCCTCTTCACACGATCTCCTCCATGTCACCCTTGGACGTCCCACTCGCCGCTTACCTTTCGGGTTCCACTCGAGCACTGGCCTGACGCGCGATGTCACCCAGCGGCCTCCTCAGCGAGTGTCCAATCCATCTCCACTTTCTCCTGCATATTTGTTGGGCGATTGGTTCTTGTTTTGTTTGTTCCCATAGTTTCTTGTTGGTTCTTGTTCTTTCCGGTCATCTGATCTTGAGTATAGAACGAAGACAGTTGTTGATAAAGGTCTGCAACAGGCTGTTGGAAATATTCTTTGTGACCCGCCAAGTTTCTGATCTGTATAACAAAACTGACTTGACGTTTGTATGGAAAATCCGAATTTTGTTGTTGAGTGACGAAGATTTCCAGATTGGTTTCAGGTTGATGAATGTGTTTCTCGCCTTCCCGATTCTCGATTTGACATCCTCATCCGTTCCTCCTGTAGTTGATAAGTGAATGAAGTAACCTCTTTCAAAACCCTCCCTTTGATGGTGATTAGCACTGGATGTTGCTGCTGTTGTTGTTGGTTGGTTATTTTCATAACCTCCGTCTTGTTTGTGTTCACATGGAGTCCTGTCCTTGCTGCTTCTTCCACCAGTTTGTCGGTTTTCGCTTGTAAATCTTCGATTTTGTGTGACATCAGACATAAATCATCCGCGAAATCCAGGTCTTCTAGGTTCTTCGCGTCAGTCCAGGATATTCCTGTCTTCTCGTTTCCCCTCTGTCTGACGCATAATCCAGTCCACCACAATTAGGAATATCATTGGTGATACATAGCGATGATAAATGAAATTACCAGTGAAGCAGTAACATTTATAGTGCTTAACGTTCTAATCAAATTAAAGTGTACAAAAATAGCGTGAAAATGTGAAAACCACAACACACACTCACTTTTGGTGCACCCCATGTAGAAACCATAGATTCAGCAACTGCTTGAAATAAATTCTGTATATTTTTACCGGTTTTTGCACTGGTTTCAAAAAATCCATGAGCTGCTTGTTGTGATGTTAACTGATAGAGAGAAAAGCAAAAAAACAAAGAAAAATGAATGGAATGGGTCCATTTATGAGTTTCAACAAAGCTGTAAGCAGACGTAATTCATCTGACACATGTAATTGTATAGCTTTCGGTTGGATACTAGTCAGTAACTATTGTAATGTGTGCATGTGTGGTCTTATCTTTGTTGCAGACTGAATTCTATCAGTCATGTTTGCAATATGGCCACCCTGTCACTAGGAAGACGATCGTCAGAAAGCCTTGGACCTAGGTTTCATGCTAGTCGGCACTTGTTACCGAGGCTTATCTGCAACCTAGGTCCAAGGCTTCCTGCCGGTTGCCTCCAACCATCTGATACCTGCATTTCAAAGTACACCGTAACAGCAGGCCACCAAATGGCATGGTGGCCATATTGCAAAGTTGACTGATAGAGTTCAGTCTACACCAAAGATAGGACTAAACAGATACACACATTACACTAGTTAACGACTAGTATCCAATCAAAAATATCCGATAAAGTCAGTCCTATAGGAGGTCGATCGCGAGTCCGAATAGCCCAGTGGTTCCGTCTTTGACTGCAGCACCCACTGGGTGACGCGGGCTCGAATCTCAAAGCGGACATGAGTTCCTTCGAGGTTGCAGATACACCTTGCTGACTGACTGGTTAGTGTCAACTAGCACGAAACATAGGTCAAACTGGGCTTCCTGCCAATCGCCTTCAACAATCGAATACATGATATTGTATTTGCATGACACAACACAACACATACTCTAATGATACATACACAACTATCAAACATTATTATAAAAGCAGTGTTAAAATCAAATCAGTAACTCTGAATCTATGGTGGCCCAAGTGAACAAGCATTAGAGTGTCCTTGACCAACGAATCAGACAGAAATAAAAGTTGGTGTTAAAAGGATAGCTATACAGCCTATTCGTTTTCGTATATATTCTAAGAAAACCTCACAGTTCCATATTGGAGTCTTTAATGGTAGGCCAAATCAATTTATGTACATAGATTCATGTCTACAACTGTATATCATTCTGTTTTGTAGCACATTTACTGCTCTAATCCTCTTTTTTTTCTAAGCAACCCCAAAAACCTTCGATGGAATTTATGTGTATCCCATAGAAAGAATCAACAGAGTCATCCATATGACTGACCGAATTGAAAGTTATAACCGACAGCTGTTTGTAAGTACTCCATTGATCTTTGTGTATAGCTGGATGATAGGTAGGTTATACGACGTCAGCGCCAAGATCAAGCACCGTCTCCATGTATCTTTTCTACAATGACGTATCATACAATCCCAGAATCCATTTCTGATTAGTACTCAGTCTACTACGATTATATTTCTTTTTAATAAGCACTGTTTTGTCCACATGAACAATGATTCTGGCGCCATCAGTTATCTGAGTCACGTTGTTCATATTTGTATTTCTACAGTGCTGAGATCACTGCACTGCTGACATCGGTAAATTTCTTGTCTGAATCGCTGTTGCTGTTACTGACCTATTCAAGTCCCAGTTGTAACAAACCATGAGAATTTTCTCTAGAGTTAACTTTGATTTTGTGAAGAAAGTCCCTTTAGCATCCATAAAGCTTAAAAAAATCAACGACATACCTAGTCGGACAGATTCTCTACTAGGACAATCTGAGCATCTATATACATGCCCATCAATAATGGTTGTATATCTCTGTAAATGGATTAATCCCCTACAACTGCATGTTTTATCTCTTCCTATGAGTTTATTTACCGTGAGGTCATCTCACTGGTTGATCAAGGTTATTATTATACCTGTTCACTCTAGTCGCCATAGTTTAAGATTACTGAACGTTACCATGTCTAACTATTTTATTAACATTACATTGGGCCATGAAAAGCCGCCTTCCTATGAAGCATCTTGGAAAAAATCGAAGACCATCAGGCGAAAATCAACAAGTTGGCAGAAGAGACTGTCAAAGATGGCAGTACTTTAATTAAACACCGAGGAGATGAAGATGACGATGAAGGCAACCCATGAACACCAATAACAACAAACAACAATCGTTATCAGTGGGATAATTTAGGAGGAAATCATGTCTCTCGTACATCTAGGCGGCGTCTTTTCAACAGCAGACGAAACCAATCAAGATGTCAAAGCCAGTCATGAAAAGAAAGACAGGATAGATCTTCATTAGTCTGAAATCAGTCTGGAGATTGACGACACTAAGCATAAACAACAAGATTCGGACTTCCAACACTAATGTCAAGCTAATCAGCTCTTCTGAATGATTCAGAGACTTACCTTATTTGTCACCAAAACCATTTCTAACAGGTTTCAAACTTTCATCAACGTCTGCTTTCACTGGCTCTCTCCTGAAGATCAGATAGCTAACCATCCAGAAAGGATTTGCAACAAAGTACTGTGTCAGACAATGAACCAACCATTAACCTATAGCCCAAAAAATATGTCGAAGAAAATGGAGATAAGTCGGAGACACACCTACTAGACCATCGACTAGGAATAACCTCAAGTTTAACCAGGAGAGAAAATGACTATTTGGGCATCCAAGGGTTACGTGGAGTTGATTGTGTATCAGTGAGGGAGGGATAAGAGGATATAGGCAATGGTGGAGTCATCTGCAGCGGACTGTAGGGAAGAGCAGAAGTGCTATATGTCCCACTGGAAACCTAAGGAAATAAGGGATAGTAATAATACAAGCTAACGTATCACCGGCAGAGGCTGAACATTTCGTCAGTTCAATGAAATCAATCAACGAGCAATTCAAAAACAATAATTTCAACAAATACTTCAAGTTAATCTTTGGGGAATTTATTATTATTATTGTTTCCTGTAATTCCTAGAGGAACACAGGGCTTCAGCCACACGTCTCCATTGCGTTCGGTTCTGCGCCAAAGTTTTCACCGTGCTACACGTATGCCCACATAGTTTCATCTCCTCTTCACATCACCTCTTCCTCCATGTTACCCTCGCACTGACGACCAACTAGCCGCCTCACATTCGGGTTCCACTCGATCAATGGCCTGGCATGTGATGGATGTCACTTGATGATGGTTTTTTCTGAGAGAATGGCCAATCCACCTCCATTTGTTGCATAATTGGTTCCTGGTTGGTTCACTCTTAGAGGTCCCTGTTGCTGATCTTTTCCGGCCATCTGATCTTGAATACTGAGCGAGGGCAGGTGTTGATGAAGGTCTGTAGTTTTCTCGGAGTACCCTTCGTGACTCACCAAGTCTCTAATCTGTATAGTAAATAACATTGACTTTACACTGGAGTTGAAAATCCGGATCTTATTTTCATTTTTATGATGAGTGCTGTTGATATCCGTACGGACTTCAGATAAATGTAAGCTTGCCTTGCTTTCCAGTTCCTCGCTTTGATATCCTCATCAATTTCGTCGGCCTTTAGTTGAAACGATGCTTCCTAAGTAGGTGGGTGGGTAAGGGAGGTTGCTTCTTTCACATTTCTGCCATTTATGCTGATTGTTGTTCTTGCTGTTGACCACTAATCGTGGTCACGTCTGTTTTCTCTATGTTCACCTACCTTTGTCCTATCTCTGATGCCGCTTCTGCTAACTTGTTGCTTTTCACTTGCACATCATCTCCCCGTTTGTGGGAAATGAGACTTATATCATCGACAAAGTCCACATCCTCCAAGTTTTTGTGTCGGTCCATTTTATGACTGTCTCCTCGTTGGCCACTGTCTGTCGCATTGTCCAGTCTATCGAAATCAGAAAATCATTGGAGATAGTGACCAGCCAGCCAGCCTTGTCTTACTGCCGTCTACACGTCGAAGGATTCCGTGAGTTTCCCGTTTTGGATTACTTGGCATGCAGCATTATCGTACAACTGTTGTATGAGATGTATAACTGTCGGTGGCACCTCGTAGTAGAATTAGCTTCTAAATCACCTTTCAGTCGACTCTGTCTGCTGAAGGCCTTTTCAAAGTCAATGGAGTTGAGGTAGAGAGCTGACTGTCATTCCAAGCTCTGTTCAATGATTATCCATAGTGTTGTAATTTGATCGACGCATGACATGTTTTTGGAGAATTTAGGTGGGAAATATAAAAACTGACCATCATTTCTTCATGTTTGCTTATTTATTTTCCCTCTGTCTCTCTCCACTAATGTTTTTTTCCGCTTTTGTACTATTACCCAGTGAAACAAAACAAACCCTAAAAAAATCTTTTGCATAATTTTCACGTATACACGTATATACACAAAAAATAAAACCAAAACAACAGTTAAATAAGGAAACAAAAAACTCACCCTTTGACCTTGTTCTGTTGATACCTTGATATCTTTAACCATATCAGTTTTATTGGCTACAAAGAAAACTGGCACTGCATCGTCCATATGCTAAACAGGTTGTACAGAAAAAGAAAATAGATGCAAAAAAATCCTTTTAGATTGACTGTGAATAAATTCATCAATTAATGCGTAAATAATCCGAATTCCATACGGAATGCATGAAAACAAATGAAGGTGAAATGAAGCAATTTAGCTGCCAATGAATCACCGGTCCTGCTTTCTACCAGCTGAGCTAAGACATATAACCACTGCAATGCTCAGATGCCTACTTAAGCAGTTTTACCGTCAATTAACAATCCGCTTGCTCCCCTCTTTCTTATTCATTATGATTGGGACTGACAGCGGGGGAGAACAAGCTGGGCATCTGATGTGATGATTACATTATATCATAATTATTATGATTCCCTTAGGTTCCGAGTGGAACATAAGGCTTTAACAGCACATTGCCATTCCATTGATCTTTATTTTCTGTCTGTTGCGTAGTAGATTCTTGGATACTGCGCTGACAGAGTTCCTTGGTGCTAATCCATTCCGGCCAACCCGCCATTTGATCTTCAGAATGGAGCCAATGAAGGCAGTTGTTGTTGATGAAAGTTTGAAATCAAGTCTTTGAATTATTCAGAAGGATTGAATGACTTGAATCTTGTTGATTCTGGTGAGCGCAGGAGATTTCCCCTCTGATTTTGGAGTAATGAAGGTTTCTGTAGCCTTTTTGATCATGGCTGAATTTGACATCTTCACCTGTTCCGCCTGTAATTGAAAGGATGATGCCTGGATAAGTGGGAGAAATGACATTCTTCAAATTCCTCCCGTTGGTGGTGATTTCTGCTTATTGTTGTTGGTCGGTGGGTATCTTCAATGTCACCTGTGTCTTCTCTATGATCATTTGAAGTCTATAGATCTTCGAGTTGGTGTGATATTAGACACTAGTTAATCATTCGTTTACGTGGGTCTACTGTAATGAAATAAAGATCTGGTCAGCGATTGGGTCACGTTACTCAAATGGTATCACACAGGGCTAGTAATTAGGAGCTTGATGATTAGAATCCTGCAATGAACCAAATTTTCACTTCACCATCAGCCATCACGCAACACAATAAATAACATTCCACCAGACAAAGACCATCACAGATAGTTTCATTGCGGTTGATTAAATATTTGTAGACCATGTTAACAGTTTTCCGATGAAAATAGTACAAGTGTCAATAGTTGGTTTATAAGGATCACGCATCAATATTAGTTAGAGAACTATTGAAAACCACTAGGGAGTACTGGACAGTTGTTTCATCCTAGTTTTGGAATCATTGGCAGTACGCACCCACCACCAGGGTTCAAACCCAGGATCTTCCGGTTACAAGGCAAGCTGGCTCGTATAACATTCAGCCACTGGGACCCGATTCAGTGGCCAGCCAGCCCATGAATTCTAACTTCTATCAATTCGTGATGCATTTAGCGCGCTCACCAAGCAATGTCATCGGTGGGAAATCCATCCTCATACTTGACTACATGGACCTCATTGGTCACGACTTCTCACTGGAACTCCAAGAAACTCCGTCCTGTGGAAAGTCACTAGTGAATATCAGATTAATTTTCAGTAGTTGGGCGATTGAACCACGTCCCAGTGGCAGAATGGTACGCGAGCTGACCTTGTAACCGGAACGTGCTGGGTTTGAATCCCACTGTGGTGGGTGCGTACTGCCGATGATTCTAAAACTAGAATAAAACAGCTGTCTGGCAGTAATCCAATACTGGTTTTCAATGGTTCTCTAACTGATATCAATGCGCGATCATCTCGTCAAAACAGAACGGAACAATGAAAAGATCTATCTACAGAAATTCGACGTGGAACAGACAGCTTACTAACTTTCACGGTTAAATACCTCTATACACCAAACGATTGTGCTACTGACAAGAATTATCAGTAGTATATAGATACAGAGCGATTGGAAGTAGCCAAAATTGAAAATAACATTTTAAGTCAGTGGCTACAAAAGTAGAAGCAGTTACTTCACAAATCTGGATTTGGTTTACGTTGTAGTCAGGAAATAGTCTCAAGGTTTAACCTTTAGAAAATCAGCAACCAATCAAAACACTTTTTTATCCGCTGACCTATCCGACCATAGATGTGGCTAAAAATGTATAAATATGGTTTGATTTTCCTCAATAAAAATTCCGTTACCAAGTCTCTTGCCTTCTCACGTAACATGTTGAAATTAGTGAATTATCGATGGATAAATAAATGATAAGATTAAAAGTTATTTTGTAGAAAAATAAGAAGAATGAGTATTCACGCTGTAACCCATTAGTCTAGACACTCGACTTCCAGCCAGTTGGTGGTCATGTTTTCGAATCCCGCTGCATACATTGAGTTTTGGGTAGCCCCGGATAGGGGGGGTAAAACTAGCTCCCACATAACAGGTATGGCTCATCACCAGTTGCATAGAACTGCAATTAATTGTTGAGTAACAGCGACATTCATTTGATTTATTCACTGTACATATGATATTCAATGCTGTACACACTTTAAAAGAACCAAATGGTTTCTAATTAGGAAGGTGTATTAGCCTGCATATATACAGGCTGGTGACAAATCAAATAAAGGTGCATTTCCTCTCATCGTGATATCATTTAAAACCAAAGAATCAACGATAAGTGTTCGATCCCTGCCCGGGTCTCATCAGCACAGTAAGCGGTTAACCAAAGTATTAATCCAAAGCATAAACTCCTGGTTATGTGGCTGGACATTTACCAGTGACGGTGGCTTCAGTTAGTTGGCAGTACATTGCCGTGCATTCATCATATTGTTATCTGTACTTACACGGAGATCGTTTGACGCCTGCTGTTCATGAATTCTAGCTAAACTCCCAAGAATTCTATCCATTAATCAGTAATTAATGAGTGGGGAATTAATCCCCAAATATTCGTGTTATGGCAGATTTTGTAACACAGCTGGTACCAGTTCTAATGTGATTAGTCGTCTCCCGTAAGGTCCGGTAAATCGGGTGTGAACACATTCACCAATGATTTTGCAATGATAGTGTGTGTCCATATGTTCAATTCCCCGAAGACAGAATGCATGGACAGCTGGAGTGGAATTCATTGCTTTCTTGATAATCTGCTTACCAATGCAGCCTAAAGGTCCAGATTCCAACCTGTATTTGGATAATCACCAGTCTGCACTGATCAAAAGTCTCAAACAAAAGTTGAAATATTTTTTGTTGTTGTATTGGTTTTGTAATGAATTTCGTTTGATCGGTTGGAGGATTTCATCATGAGCTGCCATCAGTTAAAGAACCATTGGCAAACCAACAGGGAGTACTGGACAGCTGTTTCGTCTGAGTTTCGGACTATTCGTCAGTACGCGCTCGTAGACCACCGGCTTCCAGTGGCTTAATAGTCTACCAGATAGTCTTGTAACCAGAAGGTCCTGGTTTGAACCCGCTATGGTGGATGCGTGCTGATGAAGAGTTTTAAACTAGGACTAAACAGTTATCCATTACTCCAGCACTGGTTTTTCAATGGTTCTCTAACTTTAATCAGCTCAAGATGAAATCCTCCAACCAATCAAAAATGCTTTTTCATCTTCTTTGGTTCTTTATTTCATTTGATTTCATTTCCTGATAAAATCCAACTTCAAACCAACAGAATCTCCATAACTCTAACACTTAAAAACTATTATGTATTTTATATATATGCATCTTTGAATTTTTTATCTTAAAATCGTTGTTCCCGAGCATATGCCTAAATGGCTCCAGAAACAATGGGATCTTCAGAACCTATGAACGGTGAGAACAGGAGACCTAGCTCCTCTATTGAGAAACATATTACACAGGAGACAGGACATAAAATTGACGTTCACAGATCTTTTAAACCTATCTATCTATAAAACGTGTTTGGGGCGTATCCTAAAGTTTGTGGAAGCCCTAGCTGGCAATTAGGAAGTTTAAGCTACCTTTATGCGTTCAAAGTAACAATTCGTCATCACATTAAACCTTCCTTGGTAAATTTTGTTTCGATACCATAGCAGATGTACTATTTATTACCTCTGTTATTTGGTTTAGTGGTCTTCATTGTTATTTCGACCTTGAATATATCCTTTTAACTTGACCTAAGTAGTCTATTTTCTCACCTCTTACCTCTTTATTAATTTCATATCTATTCCCATGACAAGTCCGTGTGTGTGATCAGATTTTTCGAAATGTGTTGCGCAAATACAACATTACACGATTCAGATAAATTACGTCTTCTTATTGCTTTGTCTGAAACACTAGTATTGTGGTGAGTGCTACTTATAATCCGATATAAGTAGTATATCAGAAACGAAGTAACAATATGTTTGGCACACTGGAAAGAGCAATCAAAGAAGAGAACCAGGAGAAGAATGTTGCCACATGATGCAGAATCCAAGAAGCTATCGAATGAGACGATATTCGACCAATTCGTCAAGGATGTGGTAAATGATGTGCAAATGGCCGGTTGAGAATATGGTATACCAAATTTATTTATGTACCATACGTTTCACCAAACAAACATGCCTTTCAGCCCCCTCAGTCTTGTCTTCTTTACAGTATTAGATAGACACGTATTAGCAAATATTCCTTTTCACAAAATACAGATCATTAAACAAAAAGGTTATATGTCTGATTACGCTGAATGATTAAATAACCACAGGAATTCATAACCTTTTTGAATAAGGAATAACCAAACTAACTGTTCGCACACACACACACACTCAAACACAGAGAGACTGGAAAATGATTCATAGTTCTATTTCCCACTGAAGAGAAAAGCAATACTGATGTGAATTAATTAGAGGGAAAATATATCTGAATCATGGTATCTGTCTGTGGATTCAGATTTCGTCTTCTTTACAACTCTTCAGTTGGATTTATCTGTTACAGACATACAGGAGGTTAGAATTCGATTGCTGACCGATAAACTCCTGAACCTTGACTATTCAGTATACAGGCTAGTTGTCCAAACACAATTCTTTCAGTTAGGCGAAGAATGTTTGGCCAAGAGAATAAGTCAGTCGGTAAGGTTGTAAA